AAAAAAAAAAAAAAGACATCGGCGAGAATCGATAACCTGGCTAGTTAGCCCGATAGGAACAAAAGGTTTAGCCCACTCGACCATCGGCGCTCGTACCTGCAATGAATAAGAACTCGTATTTAAGTTGCAGAAAATGGGTGGGGCTTAAGTAAGTATAGGTATAGAGGGAGCTCCCCACTCGGTCTAGTTGAGAGAGGAGAGGGTGACTGCGCACTGTGCATGCGGCGAACTCCCGAAAATCTGGGAGCCTTGCCCGGGAGTGATGTCGAAGTAAACATTAACTCCAGTCTATGCGACGAACCTTCATTCCACGGATTTCCGAAGACTACTCTATCAAATGGAAGTGACACAGAGGAGGAAGATTTCCCCGGCTCCGAAAATCGCACCAGCATGATGTCGCACGATTATCCTGTGGCGATCTGCCGGGACCACTCTGACGTAAACGAGAGCGCCATGAGCGCCAGTGAGGTCGACCTGAAGGAAGCGCTGAGTGGATTAGACAAAGCAGAATGGTTCGAAGCCATGAGAGAGGAGATCAAAAGCCTCATCAACAACGATACTTGGATAATGGAGGAAAAGCCGAAAGATGCAAGGCTCATAGGTTGCAGAACAGGACTCCGGAACAAGCTAAACCCAGACGGCACCATTTGTCGTCGGAAAGCTCGTCTAGTTGCTCAAGGTTTCTCCCAGGTTTCGGGTACAGACTTCTTCGAAACATTTGCTCCCGTAGCAAGGTTGGACTTACTACGCATCCTGTCAGCCATTGCAGCCAAGCACAATCTAAAGATTTACCAGTCCGACGTTGCAACCGCATACCTTCATAGAGAATTGAACACCGTGCTCTACATGAAGCTATCTAAGATGCTCACCGAAGTCCTGAAGTCGATTGTAGCCTCCGAAAAGGACTGCGAAACCGTGAACAGAGCGAAGAAGATGCTAGCCGACCAAAACAATTGCAAGAACAGTGTATGCAGGCTAAGCAAAGCTCTTTACGACTTGCGTCAAGCTGGGAGAAGATGGCACGAAAGGATTGACGAGGTGCTCAGGGCCTTAGGTTTGCGCCCTACCACCGGCGAACCGTGCTTGTACACGGACTCCTCGGACAAACTGACGTTCGTCCTCCTTTACGTGGATGACATTCTATTCATCTCCCGTAATACTGACAGAGTCGAGAATATCAAGATAGGCCTCGCCGAACACTTTGATCTCAAAGGCATGGGTCAGGCGAAGTATTGCCTCGGGATAGAGATCGAGCAAACCAATGGATCAATTTCGCTGTACCAGGGTGCATACGTCAGGGAGCTCCTGGCTCGATTTGATATGACGGACTGCAAACCGATCTGAACACCTCTAGCAGTCGGAGCGAAGTTAGGACCCTGCCAAGATCATGTAACTGACGCGTACCCGTACCGTGAGCTGACCGGCGCGTTGATGTACCTATCCGTTGGAACGAGGCCAGACATCACTCACGCTCTTAGTTGGTTGAGTCAATTCAACTCGTGTTAAGGCAAGGAGCACTGGATGGCTGATAAGAGAGTCCTCCGCTACCTAAAAGGGACATCTAGTGCGAAGCTAGTCTACTCAAGGGACGAAGACGGATTGAGAGGATTTGCTGATGCAGATTGGGGATCTGACAGCTCGGACAGGCAATCCTACTCTGGTTACGTATTTTCTTTGTGTAACGGAGCGATGTCATGGTGCTCGAAGAAGCAGAAGACGGTGGCATTGTCATCAACAGAAGCCGAGTACATGAGCTTATCGGATGCTGCTAAGGAAGCCATATACCTATCCAACTTGATAAAGGAGCTTGGATTTACTGATCTGGCCAGGACAGTGATTTTCAATGACAACCCGTCAGCTAGAAAGCTAGCCACGAACCCTATGTTTCATGCTAGGTCAAAACACATTGACATCAGAGCACATTTTATTTGACAGGCACTCAAGGATGGGAAGCTCGAATTAAAGTATCTGCCCACCGGTGAAATGGTCGCAGATATATTAACCAAGGCTTTACTTAAAGTGAAAGTTGATTTTTGTGTAACAGGACTAGGACTTAAATGATGAAAATAACATCGATTACGGGAGTGTGTTGAATTTCTGTTTCTACATTTAATCTCTGTTCTCTCATGATTCAAATATTTCATTCTTGATCCCGCCTAATGTCGCGTTCTCATGAGTTATGTTATATCCACTTATACTTTAGCTGTTCTGTGTTCAGTTGGCTTTGCGCTGTCTGAGTGTAAACATGTACTTATATGTTCATTCAAAATAAATTCCTTGTTGTGCAATAACTCGGTTATTTTCCCAAGCCCATCTGTCACAAAGATTGAAGATTTGGACATACTTCTATGTACTTTATGAATTAAAAAAAAAAGATGCAATTCTTAATTATACTTAAATTAAAACTAGGGTTACATACAAAAAGAACATAAACTTACATCTTTATCAGTATTCCACTGTTTTAGTAAACTCAACAAGGCTTTTAATCCGTGTAAAAGGTAAGAAGGACATTTTGACTCAACATGATTAAGATTTTTCAATTCTTTTAGTAAATGTTTTGCAGCAAACCAATTGATAGTTTCAAAACTAGGATATTGAAATTTAGCTGGGGTCTTCATTTTTTTTTCCATTTCATATACTCTAAAAAATTTTTTAAATTAATTATTGTGAAACTTGATCCGGAGTATATTTTATCATGACTGAAGATTAAAAATTTTTCATACTGTAGTTGCATTGGGATATTAAGGCTATGAATAAAGTTACCACCAAATACTAAAGAATCTACTGGTGTCAAAACCGCATGAATCCAACCAGTTGGTATCATCATAGTTTGTCCTTCTTTTAAAATAAATTTATAACATGCATCAACTTGATCACCAAAAAAAGTTTCACTCTGAGAAGAACTACACAGCCATTGTTGATATAAATGTAGATTAGCTTGAGTAGGTCGAATAATATAAAATATTTTTTCTCCCCTTAGTACATGATACCATACAGATGTTCCACCAAAATCAATGTGAAAATCGGTGAAACTATCTCTTACACTAATCAAACAATACTTTTGAACTTTGGCCCTTTTTAATTCACTATTATCAGGCCAATCTTCAGGCCAAACATAGTTAACCCAATCAAGTTGCCGAGCAATGTGTGGGGCCTTTATCAAAGTGGATAGGCTTAAAACAATTAAGTATTATTAAATATGCATACATATATATATATATATATATGGTGTGATGCGCTAACATTTGGGTTCAAGAAAAAATTTACCTAGTGTTCGTAACCTCCAAGCTGATGACATTCAAAATTCTAGACCGATGTGGATCATAAAAATATTCAACAAATTCACTCAATTTCATTCGAACATTATTTTGTTTTGCAACATCAATAACATCTATTTCATAATCACCACCTAAAGAAGTGCTCTAAAAAATATTAATTCACACAATAGATTAGACATTTTACGTTTTTCAATAAATTTACCAATGTAAGTTTCTATATCATAAAGACTGAAACTAGAAGGTGGTAGAGCCATGTCCAAACTTTCTTTATTATTAACAATGATTGGAATTTCAAATCCATTTGCTTCTAAGTATGACAAGGTTAATAAATGTCCATCAATGTGTCTAACAATTTCATTAGCTCCAGAAAAATGGCGAGACATTAACTCTTTAATAAAGACTGGTGTACCTGTTTGTACAGGTTTTTGATCAGCTTCTGTTTCAGAATAATCATGTCTGTGATTATTAATTCTCTTTTTCACTGAAAAAAGAAATAAATTACATTTATGTGATTATCAGCACAGCTAAGTCAATACGAAAAAAAATTATTAACGACTATTTGAGACTGTGTTTCAGACATGGAAAGGATAGTATAATAAAAATGATAAAATCTATTGGAACGAACTTAATTATGATTTTGGAAACGTTAAAAGTAGATACAGAATTCAACTTACTAACAGATGGACCATGTTTATGGCAACACTCAGGACAATGAAATTCATCAATTTCTGTTGATAGATACTCTTTCATAGCTGTGCACCTACAATTAATTATTGGGTCACTATATTCTTATGTAAATTTAAAGGTCATAATAAACTTAAAGTTAAGTGCGCACTAATTAATAATTAACTCTAAGTTAAGTGCGCACTAACTATAAACGGAAAAAAAATTTAACTTCTGTAATCGCAATATGAAAACTATGTTGAAGTTGTAATATGTTATTAAATAACACAAACTTTAATAATTACATACTGTGAAGGTAAACAAATAGATAGTCAAAACTTTCATCAAGCAGTAAAACAGTTGGGATATGTCAGTTTCAAAATGTTTACATATACCTGCCATGACTCAAATTATTGCAGATTTTACATTGTATTGAAAATTCATGTCTATCCATCTGATCACCACATTTACATTTTTTTAAAGGAATTTCCATTATTCTGTTTACATTTAACTTTTTAATTTAATTTTAAATACTCTTTTAAATTTAAGCCATAAGGAGCAATCTCTGTTTTAAAATTTTTGATTTTTGTTATAAAAACCAAGAACCTCACAAGACGTAACAATTAGGCCTTTGCACAAAAATGTGAGAAGAGCAAGGAAAAATAAAATAATGGAAACAAGCGGAGCGTGCGAAAAAAAGGGTACATTACATGGGGAACCTGGGACCTGGCCAGGTCCTGGGGCCTAATCCGCTTAAAGACCCAAATAGGAATTAAAACTGGGTGAACACTGGGCCCAAGCTTGGCAGCCACGCCGTCTACCTTGGCCGCAGCTTGGCACCTGCCTTTGCTTCCAGTGGATTTGTAATACAGCGATGACTTGGGGGCAGCTTGGCCTAACTTAGCATGACTTTCCCCCAGTAATCGCCCACTTTCGTCTGCAGATCAGTGTAATACAGTATAATCCATATATACACATACAAATGGTATGACGCACACATGAATATAAAATGGAGCTATTCACAATATTCACATAGACATTTTTTGCTTATTTCATTGTGAACGTTCATATTGAAAAGGGGGTTCCACGGTTCCGCTAAACTCAAAATGAGTGAACAGACTGAGCAGACCTACACCTCTTTTTCCATCAGGCAACAAAGCCTATGGTCGCAACTATGTTGACTGACAGAGAACACAGTATAGGTCTGTTCAGTCTGTTCACTCAGTTAGAATTCAGCGGAACAGTGGAACCCCTTTTTCAAAATAAACGTTCACAATGAAAGGAGCAAAAAATGTCTATGTGAATAGCTCCAAAATATAAAAATACTAGCAGCCCCCCATTTTGGCTTCACCCTAGACTTACTAAATAAAACACCGTACTGAGTTGACACGTAATGTGAAACGTTTTCAGTTAGAAATTTTCCCATATTCCTGACACATCTCAGAACGAAAATCTTCTTATTAAAAACATATTTTTTCGGAACCCATATAGTTCGTTTGGTCAAATAATAAGGTGTAATAATTCAAAAAAATAACCATGCTGAAAAGTACCGTGCGTTCTTTATGCCATAAAATAATCGGTAGCCATAAGGAGCCGTTGATTTGCAGTTTCTCCCGTGTAATTCACAAAAAGGGCTATTTTTTGAAGCTGTTAAGATTTTAAACTCCCAANTATTATTATTATAATGATAGTCATAATGTCTACCAAATTTCATATACAACACAAAAACAGTTTACATTCTTTGGCTCTAAAACAACAAGTTTTTTCTACATGACTTTCTAAGACGTACTAATCAATCATTTTTAATGTGCAAAAGATGAAAAACGTTCCATTGCGCTGATATCTTTATTAGTTAATTTATATTTTTTCACCACTAATACATAGCTTAACGGCAATAATACGATGAAGCTTAAAATAAATCTCAAGCTTCGAAACTTTACGATAAACATATGTAACTTTTAGCCATCTCTTACGCTATGCTTTGATAGCTCAGGTGGCTAGAGCATAGGAGTGGAATTAAGTTTTGCGGCTGTGGGTTCTAATCTCACTTGGAGCAAATTTTTTTTTTTTTTATTATTACAACATTACTTTAAATGTTTCACACTTTTTTTATGATTACTTACGTATTTTGTTTTACCAGTAACCAAATACATTTTTTTCAATGACTATTTATGAAAAAGTAATTATAAAAAAAGAAAATCATTACAGCTTTGTTTGTGGTAATACCTGTAATAGGTTATTATGAAAAAATGCACGCTCTCTCTGTAGTTTTCCCGGGCTTAAAACCGGCAAACTAAATGTGGCCACATTATGGGCGCGATTTTTTTCTTTTTTTTTTTTAATGTTTGTTGAGTGCTCGACGAATTTATTGAAAATACTACTCTAAGACAAATTGAATAATAAAAACTACTGATTAAGTAATACGACAAATTAACAAAAACCTGGAATTTTTGTAAATCTTATAATTTGAAGTACTGATTTGAAAGTTGCATTGTTTTCCGAAATCACTATAATTATTTTATTAAGCGATTATTTTACGACTCGAATTAAAAAATATAATACAATTTTCAGTGACGCATACATTATGTACATAATTATAAAAATAAGAAATATCGTAAAGTGAACCAAATTTTTACAGAAATTTAAATTCATGACTCCTATCACACACAGCAGCGCATCCTATCTTATCTGTATCCCATTTAAAGCGAAAAATTATTTTAATTTATTACAGCTAATAATAATAAATGTGATTAGTAACATATTGATGTATGTACATATACATACACATACGCTTATTATATGCAACAATTGATG